GCAAAGGATGAAAAAAGAAAAAAGAGAGGGGAAGCAAAGGATGAAAAAAGAAGAAAGAGAAGGAGAAGCAAAGGATGAAAAAGAAGAAAGAGAAGGAGAAGCAAAGGATGAAAAAAGAAGAAAGAGAAGGAAAGCAAACGATGAAAAAAGAAGAAAGAGAAGGAGAAGCAAAAGGATGAAAAAGAAGAAAGAGAAGGAGAAGCAAAGGATGAAAAAAGAAGAAAGAGAAGGAGAAGCAAAGGATGAAAAAGAAGAAAAGAGAAGGAAGCAAAAAATGAAAAAGAAGAAAGAGAAGGAGAAGCAAAGGATGAAAAGAAGAAAGAGAAAAAGAAAGGATGAAAAAAAGAAAGAGAAGGAGAAGCAAAGGAAAAAAAAGAAAGAGAAGGAGAAGCAAAGGATGAAAAAGAAGAAAGAGAGGGAGAAGCAAAGGATAAAAAAAAAGAAAGAGAAGGAGAAGCAAAGGATGAAAAAAGAAGAAAGAGAGGAAGAAAAAAGGATGAAAAAAGAGAAGAAATTGGAAAAAAAAAGAAAAAGAAAAAAAGAAAATGAAAAAGAAGAAAGAGAAGGGGAAGGAAAGAAAAAAGAAGAAAGAGAAGGAGAAGCAAAGGATGAAAAGAAGAAAGAGAAGGAAAAGCAAAAAATGAAAAAAGAAGAAAGAGAAGGAGAAGAAAAGGATGAAAAAAGAAGAAAGAGAAGGAGAAAGAAAAGGAAAAAAAAGAAGAAAGAGAAGGAGAAGCAAAGAAAGAAAAAAAGAAAAAAGAAGGAGAAGCAAAGGATGAAAAAAAAGAAAGAAAGGAGAAGCAAATTTCTGAAAAAAGAAGAAAAAGAAAGGAGAAGCAAAGGATGAAAAGAAAAAAAGAAGAAAAGAAAAAGGATGAAAAAAAAAAAAGAAAAAAGGATGAAAAAAAGAAAGAAAAAAAGAAAAAAATGAAAAAAAAAAAAGGGAGAAGAAAAGGATGAAAAAAAGAAAGAGAAGGGGAAACAAAAAGAAAAAAAAGAAAAAAAAAGGAAAGAAAAGGATGAAAAGAAGAAAGAGAAGGAGAAGCAAAGGAAAAAAAGAAGAAAGAAGGAGAAGCAAATCAAAAAAAAGAAGAAAGAAGAAAGAAGCAAAGGATAAAAAGAAGAAAGAGAAGGAGAAAAAAAAGGATGAAAAGAAGAAAAAAGAGAAGGAGAAGCAAGGAAAAAAAGAAGAAAAAGAAGGAGAAGCAAAGGATGAAAAAGAAGAAAGAGAAAAGAGAAGCAAAAAATGAAAAAAGAAGAAAGAGAAAAAAGCAAAGGATGAAAAAAAAGAAAGAGAAGGAGAAGCAAAGGATGAAAAAAGAAGAAAGAGAAGGAGAAGCAAAGGATGAAAAAAGAAGAAAGAGGGGAGAAAAGGATGAAAAAAAAGAAAAAAAAAAAAAGAAGGAAAAAAAGAAAAAGAAGAAAAAGAGGGGGAAGCAAAGGATGAAAAGAAGAAAAAGAAGGAGAAGAAAAGGATCCTAAGAAGAAAGAGAAGGATCTTCAAAATATGAAAAAAGAAGAAAGAGAAGGAGAAGCAAAGGATCCTTAGAAGAAAGAAAGAAATTAAACGAATAAAAAGAAGAAAGAATCTTGAAAAAAAGGATTTTGGCAAGAAAGAGAAGGAGAAGAAAACATGAAAAAAGAAGAAAGAGAAGGAGAAGCAAAGGATGAAAAAGAAAAAAGGGGAAGGGGAAGCAAAAGAAGATGAAAAAATAGAAAGAGAAAGAGGGAGAAGAAAAGGATGAAAAAAAGAAGAAAGAGAGGAGAAGCAAATGATTCAAAAAAGAAAGAGAAGGAGAAGCAAAGGATGAAAAAAAAAAAGAGAAGGAGAAGGTGGATGAAAAAAATAAAGAGAAGGATGTCAAAAGGATGAAAAGAAGAAAGAAATTTTTTAAGATGAAAAAAAAAAAAAGAGAAAACAAAGGAACAAGAAAAAGAAAAAAGAAAGGATTAAAAAGAAGAAAAGAAGAAAGAGAGAAGCAAAAATGAAAAAGAAGAAAGAGAATTTATAAAGCAGAGGATGAAAAAAAAGAAATTAGAATGAAGCAAAGGATTTTCAAGAAAGAGAGGAGAAGCAAAGAATGAAAAAGAAGAAAAGAGGGGGAAGAAAATGATGAAAAGAAGAAAGAGAAGGAGAAGTTTAAATGAAAAAGAAGAAAGAGAAGGGAGAAGCAAAGGATGAAAAAAGAAGAAAGAGAAGGAGAAAAAGATTGAATTGTCTCCTTAAAGAGAAGGAGAAGCAAAGGATTCTTCTTTAGAAAGAGAAGGAGAAGCAAAAATGAAAAAGAAGAAAAGAGAAAGCAAACGATGAAAAAGAAGAAAAAGAAGGAGAAGCAATGAAAAAAAGAAAAGAAAAAAAGAAAATGAAAAAATAGAAAGAGAAGGAAAAAAGATAAAAAGAAGAAAGAGAAGGAGAAGCAAAAATTTGAAAAGAAGAAAGAGAGGGAAGAAAAAAATGAAAAAAAAGAAAGAGAAAAAAAATGAAAGAATGAAAGAAGAAAAGAAAACTTTTAAAAAGGATGAAAAAAAAGAAAGAAGGAAAAGCAAAAATGAAAAAAGAAGAAAAGAAAAAGAAGCAAAAAAAAAAAAGAAAAGAAAGAGAAAGGATGAAAAGAAGAAAGAAAAAAAAAAGAAAAAAGAAGGGAGAAGCAAAGGATAAAAAGAAGAAAGAGAAGGAAAAGCAAAGGATGAAAAAAGAAGAAAGAAAAGGAGAAGCAAAGGATGAAAAGAAAAAGAAGAAAGAAGCAATGAATGAAAGAAGAAAGAGAAAAAGAAAAGGATGAAAAAGAAGAAAGAGAAAAAAGCAAAAGGATGAAAAAAGAAAGAAAAGAGAAGCAATTGAAAAAAAGAAAGAAAAGAAAAAAAAGAATATAAAAGAAAAAAAGAAAAAAAGAAAAAAAGAAAAGAAGAAAGAAAAGAAAAAAAAAGAAAAAAAGTTAAATTTAAAAGAAAGAAAAAAAAAGAAGAAAAGAAAGAAAGTAAAATTGAAAAAGAAGAAAAAGAAGGAAAAAAAAAAAATTGAAAAGAAGAAAGAAAAGGAAGGAAGATAAAAAAGAAAAAAGAAAAGGAGAAGCAAAAATGAAAAAAGAAAAAGAGAGGGAGAAGAAAGGATGAAAAAAAGAAAGAGAAGGAAGAAGCAAACATGAAAAGAAGAAAGAGAAGGGAAGAAAGGATGAAAAGAAAAAAGAGAAAAAAAGTTTTATTTGAAAAAGAAGAAAGAGAAGGAGAAGTGATGAAAAAAGAATCCAAGAGAAGGAAGAAGCAAAAATGATGAAAAAAAGAAAGAGAGAAGGAAAAAAAGATGATAAAAAAAGAAGAAAGAAAGGAGAAAAAAATGAAAAAGAAGAAAGATAAAGGAGAAGCAAAGGATGAAAAAGAAGAAAGAGAAGGAGAAAAAAAAATGAAAAAGAAAGAGAAGGAAAAAAGAAGGAAAAAAAGAAGAAAGAGAGGAGAAGCAAAGGATGAAAAAAAAAGAAGAAGGAAAAAAAAGGATGAAAAAGAAAGAAAGGAGAAGCAAGGAAAAAGAAGAAAGAGAAGGAGAAGGATGAATGAAAAAAAGAAAAAAGAAGGAAAAGAAGAAAAAAAAAAAGAAAAAAGAAAAAAAAGAAAGGATGAAAAAGAAAAAAGAGAAAAAAAAAAAAAGGATGAAAAAAGAAAAAAAAAAGAAGGAAAGGAAAATGAAAAAGAAAAAAAAGAAAAAGCAAAAAAAAAAAAAAGAAAAGAAAAGAAGAAAGGATGAAAAAGAAGAAAGAGAGAAAGAAAGGATGAAAAAGAAAAAGAAATGGGGAAGCAAAATGAAAAAGAAGAAAGAGAAAGCAAAGGAAAAAAAAGAAAGAGAATTTTTAAAAAGGATGAAAAAGAAGAAAGAGAAGGAGAAGATAAGGATGAAAAAGAAGAAAGAGAAAAAGAAGCAAAGGATGAAAAAAGAAGAAAAAGAATTTTTAGAAAAAAATGAAAAAGAAGAAAAAGAAAGAAAGAAAAAAAGAAAAAAAAGAAGAAAAAAAAGAAAAAAAGAAAGAGAAAAAGAAAAAAAATGAAAAAAAAAAAGAAAAAAGAAAAAAAAAATGAAAAAAAAAAAGAAAGAGAAGGAAAGGATGAAAAGAAGAAAGAGAAGGAGAAGCAAAGGATGAAAAAGAAGAAAGAGAAGAAGAAAAGGATGAAAAAAGATTCAGAGAAAAAAGAAATATGAAAAGAAGAAAGAGAAAGAGAAGGAAGAATGAAAAAGAAGAAAGAGAAAAAGAATTAAAAAAAAGAAAAAAAGAAGAAAAAGAAACAATTTGAAATGAAAAAAAGAAAGAGAAAAAGAAGAAAAGGATGAAAAAAGAAAGAAAGGGGAAGCAAAAAATGAAAAAAAAAAGAGAAGGAATGTTGAGAATGAAAAATTAAAGAGAGAACAAGGAAGCAAAGGATAAAAAAAGAAAATTTGGAGATAGAAAAGGATGAAAAAAAGAAAGAGAAATATAAAAAAAAAAAAAAAAGGAAAAAAAAGGAAAAAAGGAAGAAAAAAAAAAAAAAAAAGAAAAAAAAAAAAAAGGATGAAAAAAAGAAAGAGAAGGAGAAGCAAAAATGAAAAAGAAGAAAGAGAAGGAGAAGCAAAGGATAAAAGAAGAAAAAAGGATTGAAATGATGAAAAAAGAAAGAGAAGGAGAAAAAAAGGAATTTTAAAGAAGAGAAAAGAAGAATGAAAATAGAAAAAAGAGAAGGAGAAGCAAAAAATGAAAAAAGAAGAAAAGGAGAAGCAAAAAATGAAAAAAAAAGAGAAGGAGAAGGAAAGGAAAAAAAGAAAAAGAGAAGGGGGAAGAAAAGTATGAAAAAAGAAGAAAGAGAGAAGGAAAAAAAAAAAAAGAAAGAAATTTTAGGAATTAAGCAAAGATTGATAAAAGAAGAAAAAGAAAGAAAAAAAAAACGAAAATAAAAAGAAAAAAAAGAGAAAAAAGAAGATAAAGATTAAAAGAAGAAAGAGAAGGGGAAAAATGATGAAAAGAAAAAAAGAATAAAAAAAAGGATGAAAAAAAAGAAAGAAAAATAGAAGAACCAAATTAAAAAAAAAAGAAGGGAAAAAAGAATGAAAAGAAGAAAAAGAAGGAAAAAAAAAGGATTTGAAAGAAGAAAAGAGGGAGAAAAAAAAAAAATGAAAAAAAAAAAGAAGGGGAAGCAAAAGGATTTGAAAAAAGAAAAAAGGAGAAAAAAAATGAAAAAAAAAAGAAAGAGAAAAATAAAAAAAAAAAAAAAAGAAAAAAAAAAAAAAATTAAAAAAAAAAAAAAAGAAAAAAAAAAAGAAAAGAAAAAAAAAAAAAAAAAAGAAAAAGAAAAAAGAAAATTAAAAAAAAAAAGAAATAGAAGGAAAAAAAAAATTGAAAAGAAGAAAGAGAAAAAAAAAAGAATGAAAAAAGAAGAAAGAAAAAAAAAAAAAAAAAAAATGAAAAAAAAAAAGAAGGAGGAAAAAAAAAAAAAAAAAAAAAAAAAAGAAAAAAGGAAAAAAAGAAAAGAAGGAAATGAAAAAAAAAAAAAAATGAAAAAAAAAAAAAAAGAAAAGAAATTTAAGAATGAAAAAAAAGAAAAAAAAAAAGCAAAGGAAAAAAAAAAAAAAAAGAAAAAGAAAAAAATGAAAAAAAATAAAAAGAAAGGAGAAAAAATGAAAAAAGAAGAAAGAGAAGGAGAAGAAAAAAAAAAAAGAAGAAAGAGAAAAGAAGAAAAAAAAAAAAAAAAAAGAGAAAAGAAGAAAAGGATGAAAAAAGAAAATAAAAAAAAGAAGAAAAAAAAAAAAAAGAGAAAGAGAAGGAGAAAAAAAAAAAAAAGAAGAAAGAGAAAAAGAAGCAAAGAATGAAAAGAAGAAAGAGAGGAAAAGCAAAGATGAAAAGAAGAAAGAGAAAAAGAAGCAAAAAAAAAAAAGAGAAAAGAAGAAAAAAGAATGAAAAAAAAAAAAAAAGAGAGATGAAAAGCAAAGATGAAAGAAGAAAGAGAAGGAGAAAAGAAATGAAAAAGAAAAAGAAATTTTGAAAATGAAAAAAAAAGAAGAAAAGAAGGAGAAGAAAAAAAATGAAAAAAAAAAAAAGAAAAATGAAAAGAAAAAGGATGAAAAAGAAAAAAAGAAAGAGAAGATTAAGGATGAAAAGAAGAAAGAGAAGGAGAAGCAAAAATGAAAAAAAGAAAGAGAAATGGAAAGCAAAGAAAAAAAAAAAAAAAAAGAAGAAAAAAAAAAAAAAAAAGAAAAAAAGAAAAAAAGGAAAAAATGAAAAAAGAAGAAAGAAGAAGAAAGAAAAAAAGAAAAAAAAAAAAAAAAAATGAAAAAAAGAAAGAGAAAATAAAACAAAAATGAAAAAGAAGAAAGAAAAGGAGAAAGAAAAAAAAAAAGAAGAAAGAGAAGGAGAAGCAAAGGATGAAAAAGAAGAAAGAGAAGAAAGAAGCAAAGAAAAAAAAGAAAGAAAAAGAAAAAAAAAAGAAAAAAAAAAAAGAGAGGAGAAAAAAAAAAAAGAAGAAAAAGAGAAGGAGAAGAAAAGAAAAAAAAAAGAAGAAAAAAGGATTTCAAAGAAAAAGGATGAAAAGAAAAAGAAAAAAAGGAGAAAAAAAAGAAAAAAAAGAAAGATTGAAGAAAAAAAGAAAAAGAAAGAAAATGAAAAAATGAAAGGGGAGAAGCAAATAATGAAAAAGAAGAAAGAAGGAGAAGAAAAGGATGAATTTCAAAAAAGAAAGAAAAAGAAAGAGAAATGAAAAGAAGAAAAGAAAAGAAGAAAAGAAAGAAAAAGGATGAAAAAAGAAGAAAGAGAGAAGAAGCAAATGAAAAAAGAAGAAAGAGAAGGAGAAAAAGGATGAAAAATTTTTCAGAAAGAAAAACAAAGAATTGAATGAAAAAGAAAAAGAAGAAAAAACTGAATGAAAAAAAAGAAAGAAAAAGAAAAAATGAAAAAAAGAAAGAGTTTCTTAGATGAATGAAAAAGAAAAGAATCTTTCTAGCCGTTAGATTGAATGAAAAAGAAAAAAAAAAAATGAATTAAAGAAGAAAGAAAAAGATAAATGAAAAAAAAAAAAAGTTAGATTTTGTGAAAAAAAAAAAATTTTTTTGAATGAAAAAAAAAGAAAACATATTGAAAAGAAAAAAATTAAAAAAGACATTTAAAAATGAATTTTAGACAGAAAGCTTTATATTAAAATTAAATTATAACTTGTTTGGAATAAAATGAATGAATAAAAGAAAAAATGAAGAACATAAAATAATGTCAAAAGTCTATATTCATCCATTGGAATAAAAAAATATATATATATATTTATATTTATGCACGCGAACAGTAAAACACACAGAATTAGAACGAATGAAAAAAAAAAAAAAATTCAATAAAGTACAAAAAGAAAAGTGTGCAATTTTGGTTCCTAATCCTTTTCAAATTCACGAATATTTTAATTTAATAGGTTTGGGGTGTGTATTTGTGTGTGAAAAATATCTATGATCAAAATACAGATAATTTTGTAAAATTTCATTAAATGAAGAGAATGTGCTTCAAAACTGACACACACACAAAAAGAACACACAAACACACACACACAAAGATTTCAAACACACACTCTGTTGAAAACTCTTATGCTAGAAAAAAAAAACATTATATATAAATCCAGGTAAGATGAGAAAGAATTCTGAAATCTGTTTCAGGTTCGTAACATTTAATTTAAAAGAGAATACAAATCTTTTTTGCAGTCATTTTTATATGCGTTTCAATTTATCATCAGGCGATATATAAATTATGAAAAGGATGAACAATTTATTTAGATTTAAAAAACAAATAAAATGTCTTTTTTAAGGCCGGAAAAAAAAAATATTTGTTTATAAGGCTTGAGGGCGTTACTCTGATCAACCAATCAAATATGACCTACGTTAAATTTAAACTAAGTGAAGAAGCAAAAATTAAATATTATTTTTATAAATTGGTCATGTAAATAAAAGTTTCTCACTTCATCATCCCCATTTCAGAGTTTCTTTGGTAGACCTGTCCGTTCATTCTTCAGGTGGTAGCAGCAAACATATTGCTAATATTTTCCGTTAAATTATCAGCCATGTTTAAGTTGCCACTTTACAAGCCAAACGTTTATTATTCTTATTATTTATTAAAAAATGAAAATTATAATCAAAATTATGAAAGTCAAAAAATAAAATAAAAATTATACTGGTATAATATTTACTGTAAACTTACTTCTACATACACAAATAAATACTTTAAAAATCAGGGAGATGTTTTAGTTTTATTTTATTTTTTTTCAAACGTGTGTATTTATTCTTTAAAAGCTACATTAAGAACCATTTTTTATATATTCCGATATTTTTAATTACACCACCCGCAAGGAAATTACACAAACTGGTAAAAATTTTTATAACATAAAATTTCTATTTAATCACTTTAGCCAAATTTTTAAATATAGCACACCCTTAAACTACACATATTGTTTATGTATATTTATATATATATATATACATACACCAATGTATGTATATATAGATATATACATTGTTATATATATATATATATATATATATATATATATATATATATATATAAATATATATTAGTTTAAACAAAAACACTTCTGATGAATTGGATCGTGATAAAAAGTGTAATAAATTATAACCATGGAATATTAGTATAAAAAAAATATTATATTTTTATATATGTCCTGGAAATTAAATTCTACCATTCGTTCTATGGTCTTGGAAATATATATATATTGACAAACAAATATTATAAACACAGGTTTTAAAATATATATATATATATTGAATATAAATATATGTATATATAAAAAATGAATATATAAATTTATATATATATATATATATATATATATATATGAATTTCTGTTAACATAATAATATTTATATATATAAATATATATATATATATATATATATATATATCCGTTAATATTTTATATATTTAGAAATTAATTAATATAATAAATATATATATATATATATATTGCATTTAAAAAAAATATATATATATATATTTACTATATTTATATATATATATATATATATATATATATAAATGACCAATAAAATCATATATTTTTAAACGATAGATATATATATTTATTAAAGACATTTCATGTTTAAAATAAATTTCTTTTTTATATATGATATAATATAAATCAACAAATAAAAAATATAAAAAACAGTATTAAATAACATTTATTTATAAATGTCGATTTAAGAATGTATTTGTTATCATAAAGATAATCGTCCTAAAAACAGATTCGAACCTGCATCCAATAATTATTAAAGTCATTTTGCTGATGCCATAACCGACTATTATCTTAATATGTACTTTACGGTAAAGAATAAGGTCGAATTTATTGCTTTTTGTTTATCAAAATTGCATTTTATAACGCTCAAATTATTTATATTTTTATTGAACCAAAATAAAATATATTTAATCTAACTTTATATTTAGAAAAGGGTATACAACTTATATTTATTATATATATATATATGGACGTGGCTAATCAAAAAAAGGATAATTTTTTGTCAATTTTGGAAGTTCTTTCTTTTTTAAAGGAAACAAAAAATGTCGAATTTTTTTTATATATATATATATATATATATATATATATATATATATATAATATAAAATATATATAATTTATATTATCCTTATAAATTATAGTTTTTTAAATTATTATTTTCAGGGATAGAGCGTCTATAAATATCAAACTGGAAACTAATTTAATGGACCGTATCATATAATCAATGGTTTCTTCCCTTGATATCTATTATGTTTACGTGACAATTTCTAAATTCAAATTTATATTTTTTTTTTCTTTTTATTATTAACTTCGCTGTGTCTTATAAGTCCCAAAATACGGTATTGTTCAAAATTTATTATAATTATAATATATCTTGTTGTTCGGTGTAGATTTTTTTTATATATAATGTTGCACATAAATGATCCATGAATATAACGACCTATATGCACCTCGAGCGGTTTGTCAAATGAAAACACCACAATTTGCATTTTAATATCTATATATAATATATATAAAGATATATTTGTCAGCAATAATAAATATAATAAATTAAATATATTTTGAAGACATATGTTGAAATGTAATATATAAAAAAATATATATATAGATGAATATAATATATAAATTTTATATTGAATAGCGAACGGTGCCTTCAAAATATATATAAAAAACAATTGTATTAACTAAACAATTTCCAAGTTCATTAATTTGCTGAATATTCTGCATATTAATAAAATTTTAAATATGTTTTAAAATATCCTTTGGGAATTAAATAAAACTTAAATTTTTGTTAGAAATAAAAAACAAGAGTTTGCTCATTTGAACTATTTTTGGCAGTGAATGTTGAACGCATTTTTTTTTTTTTTAATAGGAGACAATTATAGATTTTTTTTTGAATTTTGGTGAGGATACTATATTATAAAGACGTGAACATCGAGGAAGTTTTATAAAAAATATAAACGAAAGTTCATTTGTGTCTAGAATCAAAAAAGAAACAAGAAAATTCTTATGAATCATAATGAAAAAAAGGTTTAGATAAAACTGGGTATTTATAAAATACTGGCGCAAACAGAATATAATATATATCTAATATATATGATAAATATATATATATATATTAGATACTTTTTATGGATTATAAAGGGCAGACTATTCATAATCATCTAAACAAGAATAAATTGATTTTATTTGATCGTTCATTTTTTTTAAAGAAAATCCAACAAAAAAAAAATTTTTATAAATGCATCTTTTCTGAGTTTTTGCATCTGATATGTTTAAAATTTAGTAGGTAAATTATGTTTTTTAAAATTAAAAAATTTTAAATCCATATCTCAAAAAAATTTTCTATTTTCTTTTGAATTTTTATTGAAATTATCCCAGTTCACATTATGAATTTAAAATCTGTAATTTAAATTGGAATGATAAGAAGAATTTTTTAATTCGTTTAATTCTTATCAAATATATTTTTAAAATTAAAAACAAATTATTTAATTTGTGAATATAACACACGTAATCCTTCATTTCACATAAACGAAGTAAAGATTTAAATATGATAATCATTACTTTTCGCCATTTATATTTGGTTCCTAATGAACCGATGAAAAGTTGACAAGATTCTAAGAGATTCATGTCAAAATTTTTAAAGGAAAATAATTGGGTTTGAAAAGATTTTTTGTCAGGTGAAATTCCAAAAGCATTGTGATATGAATTTAAAAGTTATTATGAAGATTTTGTTTTGTTATTAAAAAAAAAAGAATTAAACAAATTTCTTAAAAATATGAGGCATTTAAAGGACCAATTTTCATAATTTGTACTTTGAAGGTTAGATGTTCAAATTATAATAGGCTAGTCACGGTCATTTAAGAGCATTCAAATATATGTTGAAGAAAAGCATCACATGTTTTTGTTTTATCAAATTTTCTTACATTACACAATACACAAATGACAAAATTTACACACACACACACACACACACAAGTTAAATATATATATATATATATATATATATATATATATATATGAAGGATCAATTTATGTTAGTTTTTATACAAATTTCATAAAAAATTAACATAACCTTGATATAAAAAAAAAATGATATCTCAAAGAATATATAAATTTTTGGAATTTTCACTAAATCAGAAAACTTTTTTTCAAATTGTGTTTGAATATGAAAGTTATTTGGAATGACAGAGAAAATTATTTTGAATTAATTATTTACTCAAATTTTATGTAATAATAACAAACCATAATCCGAATTTTTTCATAAAAAGGTTATGAAAGATAAAAAATGTTTATCATTAATTTAAAATGCTTCAACAAATAACGAAATCACAAGAAAGTAATGAGCTGATGTTAACAAAATGTCTCAAAAAAAAATTAAATACAATTGAAGATCAAAATTGCTTGAACAAGTGAAGTTTTTCCAAAAGCTTTATTTGGTATAATTTCAAAAAGCTATGATTCATTCAATTTGTTAATCAACTAAAAAAAGTATACGAATAAATTTTTTTAATTTTAGATAATTGGACAAACAAAATGACAAACAAATATTTTTATCGATATTTATAAGAATATATTTTGGGATTGAAGTCTGTTGCACATATTTAAATGTTCAAAGGATTTTCTTCTATTTTTTTATTTCAAAATTTAGTTTTAGTTAAATTCTTTCTAAAATTATTCCATAGATTTCCCTTTAGTTCCTAGACATTAATTTTGTCCTAAAAAAAAATAAAATTTCTATGGGAACATGTTTCTGATTTGAGCTGGACAATCCATAATGTTTATTCCTATTATAATTTATATATTATTTTAAATATTTAATGAATTATATGCTCTACTTGAAATCATTCCAAAATTTTACTTTTTGAACACTTCATCTGTTCAGGAATTTTCGCCTGATTTTCCATAACCAGCTTTTTTTTTAGAGATTGTCATCTTTTTTACGGTTCGCCATGTTACGAAAATAAAACACATTTGAAATAAAAAATCTTATATATTAAAATCGTTTATATATTTATATATTATATAAAAGTGATATTATTTTAATAGGCAAGTAACACAGAAATCAAATATATTTAATTCTTTCTCTCTCAATCTCTCATTAATGGCTAATCCAAAATTATATTTAAATTGAATTGCCATTTGTCCAATCGTTATTTTCTGTTGAGGAAAAAATTAGAATTATATTCTTTGAATATCAGAACTATCTTAAATTAAAATGAATATATATATATATATTTAATATATATATATTCAAATATTTACCAATATAAAAAACTAAGAAAATTTTTCAAAGGTTTTAAAACAAATCTTTCAGAAAATAAACGCCAAGAATCTCTCTGAAAATTTTCATTTTGAAACTTATCCTGTTTTTGCCAAACGTTGAAGAAATAATTTTATGAAAATCATTATTTTTATAATTACACAAAATTTTGTATTTTGATATTGATTATTTTTACACAAAAATATAGAACATTGAAAAAAAGAAAACATATTTCTTCATATATATATATATATATATTTATATATATAAAATAGTATATATCTTTCAAAATACAATTTGTTTTCATATTGGGTATAAGAACCCTAATTTTCAGGGTCGTCGATAGCTGTGTATTTTGTTCAAACCATCATCGAGAAAATAAAATTTAATGTATGTTTTACATGATTGGCCTTGTTTAGAAAATTGTTGATCACGCTCGATCAATAAAATAATCTCCCACAAACTGTAACTAAAAATGCTCTTGCAACAGTAATAATTGACTAAATTTTCCACAGGTGTTTTCTTGTGGGTGTTGAAATTAACACAAACATAAAGAGATTAACAGGATATGGAAAAATATTTCTTGTATATGGTCTTTAGAATCTCATTGCCAGTTATATAATTTATCTCACTTCATGGTTTTACTAAATTATTAATTTCCAAATTCAACACTTTAGTTGCACTGTCGAAGCTGTACTTTTGGAAAACCGTTATTGGCGGAAAAATTGGTTTTTTTTATTTAAAACAACAAATGAAGAAAATGATATACAAATTTTTTTTGTTAAAAATATATTTTTTTATATATATTATTGTGGATTCCGATTGAAATCCGGTACCAATAAATAACAAACGCCAAGAATGAATATATGAAAATAATGTATTAACGTAATAATACAAACTGGTAAAGCAGGTTAGTAGTTCCAGGAATACGGGTTAGTAGCAAAATATATATACAGTCTTTGGTATTGAAGTATCGCTGTATGACTTCTTACTGAGTCTGCTCGCTCACTCGCTCACTGTGACTCTTGTTGGCTCTCACCCTCGTTCTGTCTGTTGTTACCTTAACCTTTCACTCTTCCGGTTACCTCAACCTTTCTCACTCCTCCTCCTTTGTCTGTTCGGTCTTCACTTCAGCAGTAGTATATGTATATACTGGGTGAGTCCATTTGTGTAAAAAAGGGGAGGACCCCTCAACAAAAAAATTTGATGAAATTCGGACAATTTATTTCTTTTGACTTATAAATGGTTATGATAAACGTAGTTGTGATATGAAATCATTTTATTGATTTTTTAGATTTGATCATTTGGTATACGAGGATATAATGATTTGAAGATTTTCTATATGCTTATAGGAATTGGATTTAGTTATTAGGGAAAGGAGTTCAGAATGATGTCTTTTACTTTGTTTCATTCTTTGATTAATAAATGTAATGCGACCTGGAACATGCCAAATTTTCCTTCTTTCCTTTTTCACATCTTTTTATATTTTAAATTTCGTTCATGCATTAGATACTTGAATATTTTTTCCATATTTAACGATGGTGTTATTATCTGTGTAGTTTGAAATTCTTGATAAAAATTTGAATCTGTAATGCTATCAGTCCAGATCTAATAAAATCTCGAAGATTTCCAATATTTCCAAATTTCATCTAAATAGTATATTTTCTTTTAAACAATAAATTGCATTTTCATGGAATTGTTATTTAAAATTTCCTCAAATGCTTATCATTGCTTAACGACTTTAATCTGAATTTGAAATTTTGAAATAATTATTAGGTCTCACCATATCATAGATTTAAATAGCGTTTTTGTTTTTCCAAGTATTTTTCTAATGATATTTCGTGTTCTACATTTTCCCAGTTGTGATTTTCTTTAAGAATATTTATTTTCAAAAGAGTAAAAAGAAAAACAATTTTCAATTGTTAACTCACCTTTTAATTACAATTTTTTAATTAAATATCTTTTCTTATTCCTTCACACTATTTCATCCCATTGCAATTAGGGCTTTATTGCCTTTGTTTGAAGAGAAATGAATGTAAAAAAAAAAAAAAAACTTATTTGAAAAAAAAAAAATTAACAAAATATATTTTTTTTTTCCTGGAATTTTCTCCACTCAATACATGAATTATACACACACATGAATTTTGCACACTTCACACGAATAAAAATAAAACTCCAACAAACGAATACACACGCTTAAACGAATAAATTCACACACATCATTAATAATTCTAACACAAAACACACGAATAAATTACACAATATGCGCACACTATCATTCACATTCTTATGTCCCACATAATGTTCAAAATTCCAAACATTCATTTAAATAAAATAGACACAATCTTTAAATTTTACGTTTTATTCAAAATATCATATGCCAAAAAAACACGAAATCAGAAAAAAATTCATGCACACATCATTTTACGTAGATGAACTACGATCACACCTCGTACGCATATTTCACACAAAAATTGCACATACGAATTAATGCAATTTCAGACATACGAATTGAATATGTAGTCCTTCAGTTTGAATACTTCTACACAAATAATTTATATTCAAACATGAATATGCAAACACTTTTGACCAGATATGTACTTTCTTTTAGATCAAAATAATTGAACAATTAGATATGTTAACGAATATGCATCTGCACTTATTCAAAATTTGCACACACGAATAAAACACCCATTTTTTACGCGCATGATTCACGCACGAATTCGTAATTTTTTTTTAACGAATTTAAACACTCAATTTTGAATATGCACGCACTCCTTCATATGAATATGCAAATTTTTGAATACACACGTATTAATTACACACTAACATGTAATGTCGTCAACAATTTTCAATGATCTACTGAATTAATACACACGCATTAAAAAATATAAAAAGAACCTAATAAAAAAAAAGAATAAAAAACATAAAAAACCCCCCAAAAACTCAAAAATGTCCATAGTTTTGTATTTAATTTTAACGGAAGCCATGGCGGAAATAAAAACTTAAAATAAACTACGTCATTTAACCAATATTGTGGATCTTAAAATTTCTTTCATGTGGACTGAATGGGTAAAATTAATAACAATACTGTCTTAGATAATGGAAACTAGTTTGGAAATCATGGCGGTTTTTTTTCTCATTTTACCAAAAAAAAAAAAAAAAAAAAGAAAAATGCCCTGAGGGGAAATAAAACAATTTTTTTTTAACTAGAATACTTTTTGGTTTTTTGGGAAGAAAATAATAGCAATAAAGAAGAATTAAGAATTTTCCTGTGGTGGTAAAATTTGATGGTGTTTCATCAAATAGACAATCTTTCTTTCTTTTAAAAAATCTAAAACATTTTCAAATTTTCTTTCTTTTTTTTCATGTTTCAAATGTGGCAATGCATGCAGTATAAAATATAAGGGACATAAAATATATTTTTTTTATGTTATCTAAAACATAAGTAAAATGATTTCACGTCCGGATAGATTGTCTTAATCAAAGGGCAGGCCAACTACTAAATTTCACCAAAACACGTGAATAAAATTTACCTACACATTTACATATATTAATTAATTTAATAAGAAAAATCTGAGTTGTTTTTCTCTTGCACAAAAAGTTTATTCTTTTCACTTCTAAAATAATGTTTTTCTCTATTTTAAAATTTATATTCAAGAATTTCTCAGATACAAGTCTTATTAGATCCGTTTATAATAAATGTTTGTGTTATGTGTTTTTGTAAAAATGAAGTGTGTGAACAGAATTTTTATAAAAGATACTTTTTAAGCTAGTTGGCACTGTCCATAGAGTAAAAAAGATTCTTTCTGGATGTTGAAATCTTAATTTACATTTAAACTTAACACACGCTGTAACAAAAAAATTTATAGAGAGAAAAAGGGTTTTATATCCCTTCCTTTTATAATAGTTTATATTGTATAGCCACCTATTAAAGAATAATTTTATTTATGAGAAACATTGATTTTTTTTCTTTTCAACTGTTAACCACACACACACACACACATTTCACACATATATATATATATATATATATATATATATATATATATATATATATATATATTTATATTTATATATATATTATATTATCTAAGTCCTTTTCATTTACCATTCAAATTTATTAGATGCAACCGTAACTTCTATTCTAACAGCTTCTTCTCTCACACTTCTCCCTTGTGGGATTCTCTTCCGGCTTCTTGCTTTCCAGCCTACGTTAATCTTCAAAAATGTAAATACAGTTTCAAACGTTATTTTCTGTCTTCTTAATTCCTCTTCTTTTATTCTTCTCTCTCCTTAAAATTGATTTTCTCTTTCTCATATTCTTCCAAATTGAGTAACTCCTTGTGTCTTAGTGGCTTTATTTCCTTGCTTGGAGATAAACGATTAAAATTTAAATGCAATGTCAATCGTTATCTTCTGTCTTCTTAATTGCTCTTCTTTTATTGTTCTCATTTCTTAATAATGTTTTTCTTTTTCTCATATTCTTTCATACTCAGTACCCCCCCTCGCGTCTTAGTGGCTTTATTGCCTTGCTCGGAGACAAATGATTAGAACTGAAATGTAGTGTCAATCGTTATCTTCTGTTTTCTTAATTCTTCTTCTTTTATTGTTCTCTTTCCTTAATAATGTTTTTCTTTTTCTCATAATATTTCACACCAGTAACGCCTTGCGCCTTAGTGGCTTTATTACCATGCTTAGGGAGAAATGATTTAAAAAATAACTTAGACAGGCTGAAGTAATTGAATAAAACAGAATAAAAAATGAACTTTGGATAATTTATCCATAATTTTGAAACCGTCCTGGGTAAGACAATAAACAATATCCGTGTCCTGGGTAAGACTAAACTACGTCCGCGTCCTGGGTAAGACGATAAACTACATCTAACAGCAAGGTCTCTGCTCAGGAGGTTTTGAGGAGCGTGGAACCACCTCTTAATTGCTGGTGTTTCCAGGTCTACCCTGACTCGTGGTGGTAGCACCAGTTAAGGGCCACAGCTAAGGGCAAATAGTTAACCCCGAAACAGAGGTAAAAAAGCCTTATCAAAGTGTAAAAATAGCTTTTAATACCAGAAATACTTATAAATATAAATAAAAAATATAAATATATATATATATACTTATAAATACAAATAAAAAAACTATTACCAGAAATAAATTTTTCAAGGAAAAAAAAAAACTATTACCAGCAATATATTTTTTAAAAATAATATTACTAGCTATACATTTTTGAGGAAAAAATACGACCAGAAATAGATTTTTACAAAACAAAATATTAACAGGAAAAAAAGTTGTCAGCATTAAATAACCCATTGAGGTTGATATGCTGTAAAACAAAACAAACCAAACCATAATTTTGAAAATTGGAAGAATAAATAAAAAAAACTGTGTTGAGATGAATTCTTGCTACCTAGAAATAATATATATATATATATATATATATATATATATATATATATATATTATATATATAGATATAGAGAAACGGTTTGCTTATATGAGTCCGAAATTACCTTAACGCATTAAACATCATTTCCATTAATGTAAGAACTCTTCAGCGACATATCTATAGATATTTACATAACTTCATATGCGAAAAGAAGGCAGACTTTCATGCTGAAAAGCTTTTAATGGAAAATGTAATTTAAAACCAGTACACATCTGTTTAGTATATGTAAGCAACTATTAGCATCTATCTATCTATCTATCTATCTGTCTGTTCAGATCTATCTATCTATCTATCTATCTATCTCAGTCTTTTTATATCTATCTATCTATCTATCTATCTATCTATCTATCTAATTCTGTTCTTTATCTATCTATCTATCTGTTCAGATCTATCTATCTTTTTTATGCAAGCACAGTCAAGTCTATTCATATCTATCTATTTTATTCAAGCTCTGTCAAGTCTATCTATCTATCTATCTATCTATCTATCTATCTATCTATCTATCTACAAGGTAACCAAAAAAGTTCTGTCCATTTGTAAAGGAAAAAAAGAAAACGCTTCACAGTATGTGTAACTTATATTTAGTCTTCGAAGTAATCGCCATCGGCATCCAGCACCTTCTGCCAACGTGTCTCCAGCTGTTCAATGCCCTTGCGGTAGAACTCAGGGGGTTCTGACGCAAAGAAGTCCGTGAGAGCTTTGCACAAGTCTACTTCATTGGTGAAGGATTTCCCACGAAGATGATTATCCAGGCAGTGGAAGAGGTGGTAATCGGATGGCGCAAGGTCAGATGAATAAGGTGGATGGCACAAAGTCTCCCACCCAAGTTGCTGTATGGTATCCCTGACCACTCGCGTGACATGCGGCCTGGCGTTGTCATGGAGGAAAAGCACACCTTTGCGATTCACCAGTGCTGGCTCCTTCTGGCGCAATGCCTGTTGCTGGTTTCAATTGCTGCAGAGTATAGGTCTCCAGTGACCGTTTGGCCTGTTGGTAGCAGTTGATAATGAACCACTTGACGACCTGTCCACCAGACACAAAGCATAATGTTGCGTGGGTGCATAGGCGGTCTTGCGGTGTGAGGGACAGCATCCTGAGGAGACAACCAATGTCTGGAACGCTTGGGAGTTTCATACAGAAGCCACTTTTCATCACTGGTAAGCACTCGATTGAATAAGGATGCCGTACGGTGGCGAGAAAGCAGCGATACGCAGGCTGCCACTTGTTGTCCCTTGTGGACCTCCAACAGCGTTTGCGGAACCCATTTGCTCAGTTTGTACGTCTTACCTAGGCGGTGCAGGTGACGTCTAACTGTTTCATCGGAAACGTTGAACTGTCTTGCAAGTTCACCACACGTTAGACTACTGTCCTCTTCAATGGCCGCCTTCAGGACTCCGTCATTCAAGACCTGTGGTCGTCCACTGCGAGGCTCATCATGGAGAGACAAATCTCCCGAATTGAATTTTCGAAACCAACTCCTTGCAGTACGTTCATCCACAGCACTATCCCTAAACGCTTGACATATGCGGCGACTTGATGCAGCTGCTGATAAGCCCACTTTGAAGTCGTAAAGCAAACAGCCCCGAACGGTATTCTCTAGACACTTCCATCCTCCTCACAGCTGTCCGGCTTATAACTGATGGCTGGGCACGGTGTGCATTTTTTATAACGTCTGGTGGTCCTACTTCGGGCTGTCCGAATTTGAAAACACTTGCTACACGCATTTTGTATATATTTCAACTTCATTCAATGACTAATCAACAAACGGACAGAACTTTTTTGGTTACCTTGTACATATTATATATATATATATATATATATATATGTGTGTGTGTGTATGTGTGTGCGTGTGTATTTGCCTGTGTTTCCTCAAATCTATCAATCTATCTATTTCAGTTTGTTCAATATCTATCTCATTCTGTTCATATCTATCTCAATCTGTTCATATCTATCTATCTATCTATCTATCTATCTATCTATCTCGAGACTTTTTGTCTTACCGAGTTTACCGCGAGCTGTACAAGACATTTTCGTTGGATATTCTTCGGAGTAAGTGTCATTTTTGTTTGCCTCCCACCATCGTCTTGTGTATCCATTGTTGTCTTTCTTTGTCGTCTTATTCGTCTGAATTGCGTGTATTGTTTCAAATTGTGTTGGGGTGACGACGGTACGCCGACATCATGTCGGAGCCTGAATCTCTTCCTGCTTCTCCTACAGAAGTAACTCCTTCGGCATGAGCAAGGAATAGACCCCCCCAAAAAAAGGGCCAGAATATTGCAAAAATTTAAAAGAGAAGTTTGATCCATATGTTAATAGAAATGAGTTATTACCGGTGCCGTCTGTATTGGACAGGGTGAATACAAAGACAATATCGTTAGTAACAACGGACCCCAAGACCCGGAAGATAAATATCGTGACTAAAGAAGTGATAGAAGAGGCCCTGAAAAGTCTTCAAATTGCAGCCAAAATTCTAGCCAGAAGTAAATCAATGTGGGCCATCTTATTGCCGACAGAAAGCCAAATCGCTGGCAGGCTGTATTCTACTTCGACAGTCAGGCTTCAGACTGAATATATGGGGACGAGAAAGGCAAAGGTGACTCTACACAGGATGCCGCTCTACATATCTGAAAACCATATTGGTTTTTTTCTTTTCTAAATCTGGGACGTCTCCGACGTCTGCCCTATTAAAAGTAAAGCGATATTGAAATCTCAATTACATTAATTCGAAATCAATTTACGGAAATACCCAACACGTTAATGTGTGAGAGTATACTTATCTATGTCGTCGTGGAGGGTCGTCGGCCAATTTGTTGGGCTTGTGGGGCTGCGGGGCATTTGTCGAAGGCTTGCCTAGGACAAAATCCTGTCCCACAACCCAAAAAGAAAAATGAAGATGCAACATCACAGGCAACTTCACAGGCAACAGCACAGACAACCAGGAAAACTGGAGAGTGGACGGAATCCGTCAAGGAGGGACCCAAAAGTACCACCACTTCCCTTCAGCAGCAGAATGAGGGTACCCAACCAGAGCCAGGGGACCAGCAAATAAGGTAAGTAGAAATGCAGAAGATGCCCCCACCTCGGTTGTCTTCACTGAAAAGAGGGAGAGAGGAAACAGAAGAAGAAGAAGAAAAGAGGGGAAAATAAAGAAAAAAGACAAGCGAGCTGAGGCCAACAAAGGCTCTGCCAAAACCAAAGTTCAATCAGCCCTGGGTTCGCCAGTTAAGAAGCCTGAAGAAAATGCCACAAGAAGCCTTCCTCCTTCCCCTCTGAAAGCACCACTGCCCCCCATTCGCAATTCACCCCCTATTCAGATACCCCATCCCAATGCCACTGCAGCCGATGACATTTCTACTCCTCCCAATACTCCACTTTCCACCAGCACAATGCCTAGTAAATCCCCAAAGCCCAGCACCTCCCAGTAGAGTTCTTCTCGTAAGAAGAAATTCCCGTGTGGGGTAATGTCTTGTTGTGTGGACAAGCAGTCAATAGAAGCGGGCATGTCGAAGCAAAAAAGAACTTTGTTGAAGCCCTTGTTAAAGATGGCGTCAGTAGATGGACTTGCTACAAAAGATCCCCGAATTTTCCCCAAGGCCGCTGGCATAATAACATGGATAAAGAGCACAGGCTGAAATCTAATAGCGTGGGATCACCTTCACGAGGCGAAGGATGTTTTCCGGAGATCCATATGGCGGATATAGGAATCCCGGAACTGAGAAAGCTGCAGGAATATTGTGCAGGGAGGGTCCCAGTAATCCTCCATCCTTCATTATACAGGGCATTAAAACTAACGTACCCGTCGGATGTTGGCGGTATTGTCCGAGATGGTCGTATAACGACAGAGATGGAGACAGGGAGCCTGGGACAATCCCTTGGGGTCTTTTCATCCACAGATTTCCGTCCAGTCTGTGAGTAGGAGAATCAACTTCAAAAATGTCTGTCAAGATAGCTAGTTTGAATGCGAGGGGATTGAGGGATCGGAATAAGGCCGCCTGCCTGCTTCGTGATCTCTTGTCGTTCGGCGTAGATGTAGCTGCGATCCAGGAGACGCAGTTTCCTTGCGAGATTGATGCGCCTGTGCTGTCTAGCGACTATGTTGTCTATTCAGCATACGTGGACCAGCCGGCCAGAGGTGTTTCCTTGCTAGTTAAACGTACCCTGGATGCGAGGGTGGACCTTGTCCACGTTGATGCGGTGATGGTAGTGGGTGGGGCGGTTGATCGTGGCTGATATTGCCGTGAACAGTAGTTCGTTTCGGATCGTTGCTTTTTATGCGCCCAACGATCAAGGGGAGCGTATCTCGTTTTTTCGGCAGTTGGGGCCGTTTTTGGTCGATTCTTCGTGCTTAGTCTTAGTGGGGGTCTGGAATGCCATCCTGGACCCCAAGATAGAAAGGAGTCGGGGAGCTAGCGGGAGGTCATTGGGTGATCTCGTCGATAGATAAGCGAGTCGATCACCCCGGGCCGGAGATGTGGACGTGGACTTGTAAGTGGGCGTCTACCCAGGTGGCCATCTACCTGGATACACTGAGAAGGTGAGAAAGTCCGATGTAGATCTGCTAGATTGTCCAACGTTTCACTGGTTAGGCTATTTGGACCATAGACTCGTCTGTGCCTGGATAGCGTTAGGTTCTAGACCTAAAATGGCCGGACACCGGAAGTTCAATTTCTCTTTACTGGACAGGCGGAACTTCCAGCAGCTAATTAAACTAGTGCAGCGGGAACTAGTGGGGGCGGTTATTGGGAATAAGTGGTGGGAGAGGCTTAAGGATAGGATTAGGTCCTTCACCATCGAATATAGCCAGCGGCTCGCACTAGATAAGGCTAAAAAGTTGAAAACACTTAAAGATGGTCTGTCCCGGGCGGAAGCTTGAGGGGGGACTCCCTAGAGATAGGTTTAGCTAAGCAGGCCGTGGAGCATGCGGCTAGCGAGTGCTACCAGGGTTAGTTAGACATAGGTTAAACAAGATGTCTAACGAAGCCGTGAACATGGGCGCACAATTGCGCAAGACAGAGATCCGTCGAGGGTCTGATCGTTTCATTTGTGAAGTGAAAACCCCGTCGATTGACGATATGTGCGAGGCCGATTTAGCAAAGAGCCTGGTCTCGGTGGCGATGTGTTTCGCAGCTATTTGGCTGACTTTCCTCGGCTTTCGACGACTGAAGCGGCTAGATGCGAGAGTGAGATTACGGAGGGCGAAGTCTACTTGGCATTGAAGAGGGCCGGCAGTGGCAAGTCTCCGGGACTTGATGGCTTACCCTATGAATTGTACTTGAGGCTGTAGCACCTTTTTGTACCGATTTTGACTGTCGTGTTCAACAACTGGTTCCGGCAGGGATTCATCCCCAGTCAGATCACCAGGATCACCAAAAGGGCAAGGATGATGGGCGAAATTTAGACGATTACAGGCCCATAACTCTGCTGAACACAGAGTTAAAGTTTTTTGCCAAGATCCTGACGGAACGTTTGTAGCGAGTTGCCGAAAGTCTGTTGGGAACCGATCAGACTTGTGCTGTGAAGGGCCGAACAATTCAGAGCAACCTGCATCTTAACCGAACGATCCTAGAGGGTGTAAAAGACAATGAGCAAGCCGCGCTGATCAGTTTGGATCAGTCCAAGGCATTTGATAGGGTCGACCATCGGTATCTGTCTGCTGACCTGCAGGCCGCCGGATTCCAACCCGACTTCTGCAAGTGGATTAGCCTCCTGTATCGCTCCCCCAGTGCTGTGGTACAGGTGAACGGAAAGCGGTCGCGCGCTTTTGCGCTGTTTCGGTCGTTACGTCGGTACTATCGCACCTACTTTAAGATTTGACGTTGGAGCTCCCCTTCGTCGGCTGAGAGTCGGGGCGTGGAATCGCTGTCTCTGGTGGGGCTCGAGCCAGGGTTTCCGCGTACGCCGATGAAGTATCCATTTTCGTGTCGTGCCGCAGTGACATTGAGGTGTTACAGAAGGCGCTTGAACGGTAAGAAAAGGTCACAGAGGCCAGGATTAACCGTAACAAGTCTTCCGGCTTGCGGTTAGGTGCCTGGAAGGAGGTTTCTCTTCCGGGACCATTCAGTTTGACGGACGGTCTTGTCCGCATTCTTGGAGTGTAGTTTGGACCCGACCTCCAGCTGAAGAAAAATTGGTCAGAAGTGCAGGCAAAAGTCGGAGCGTCGGTCCGGACTTGGCTCCGAAGCAGGTTGTCCTTGAAGGGTAGAGCTGAGGCGTGTGCCACTTACGTCTTTTACCGCTTGGCTGTACTTCCTCTTTACAAGGACCATAAGAAGGCGATCGAGAGCTTGTTGTCCACCTTCATGTGGGGTGGGCGCAATCAGAAGGTGCGTAAAGAAGCTTGTGTCCAGCGTCTGTGTCATGGGGGGGGTTGCCGCACTTGGTGAGTCATTGACACGCCTCGAGGTTGGCTTTCCTATGCCGCGTTTTGGTAGAGGATTCGATTTTGGTGTAGTGTTAGGGACGCCTACCCTAGCCTTTTTATTACTCCCTTATTTCCTGGGCTAAGCGGCGTCGTAGGTCCGAGAAATTGTCGACTTTACTCAACAAGTGTCGAGCGGCCTTGAGGGCTTTTCCGCTGCCCAGTGACCTTTCACGGCCTCAAAAGGTCTTGTATCGGGAATTAGTAGAAGGTGTCGTGAAGGACCATCTCTGTGATCGGAACGGCTTGTCGCTGGACGAGTTGTGCTCTTTCTGGTCTTGGGTGCCAACCCTGAGTTTCCGCTTATCTGGGGATTGATCTGTAACGTGCTATCTGACAACGACATGGCCTTCAGATGGGGCTGGGCGGATTTACTAGACTGTTAACAGTGTGAGCTTGGTTTAGAAGAAACGGCTTTGCATGCCTTCTACCATTGTCCTCAGGTACGCCGTTTCTGGGATTATGTCGGTGAGCTGATGGCTCGTATCGCTCCCGATCGGTTTGTACTCATCGATCTCGTATACGCGTGCGACAATGTGTCGCCCTTGTATTCTGGAATGAAACGAATGGTGTTTTTAATGTTGCTGGCCGTGGCAAGAATGGTGATCCGGATGAAGGAGGAGATCTTGCGGCAAGAACGATATTCTCATCAGGTTTTGATCAGATACTTTCAGCCTCAGCTAAAAGTGAAGATCAAAACTGATAGAAAGCGTTTCGTGTCGATAGATTTCAACGAAAGGTGGGTAAAAGTAGCGAGCTTGGTTCGCATGAAAGGGGCTATCCTTGAGTTCTTTTTTTAAGTCCTCTTTCGTCACAACGGGGCGGTTTCATGCGAACACTCCCCCTGATTAAGGTAGACCCTCTTTTGTGTACCTAGTTAATATGAGTGAGTGTCGTTCCTGACCTGTTCCTGGCTCCTTACTACATCTATTTTTCACCTCCCCCATTCCGTTAGAGAGTTAGCCTCTTGATTCTGTCTGATGACAGAATACAGTGGCAACTCTGATTTTTTGTGGGGTCGAGGCGTCCTACTAACATCAATTATTTACTCATTAGCGACACCAGCTTTGCTACTCGAAATCACCATATTGATATTATTCAGGTTAGGTTTCAACTATTTTATGTATGTAGTTTCAAGGATAACCTGAACAAAATAAGCTACGAAATCTCCACAAACATTCTTAAATGCCTATAATTCATAACAGAAGCCACTTGTTTATACCAACGGCATCCCATACTTAATACTTCTCGTTTTCACTCTCCCGTGGTCATGTCTGTCGTTACGAGCTGCAATGCGATTTTCACTTCCGCGTCTCGTATAAACGAATTTATCGTTGTTTTGAAATTTTATCATTATTGTTTCGTCTGTGTATTGTTTGATATATTGAAATGTAATTATCATCTTTGATAATGGCTTGTGTAAGTCGAAAGCTTAGATTGAATTTAAACATGTATCAATATGGTGATTTCTTTTCATCTTTCAATAATAATGTTCTTAAGCTTATCAGACAATATGAAAGGATCTTACTTAAAATAGATAGAGAAAAATTGTCTATATTATTTAATGAAACATGTATCAATGAAAAATTGCTGCCTAAATATAAATAATATATATATATATATATATATATATATATATATATATATATATATATATAAATAAAAAGAAAGAACAGTAAGATATATAATCCGGTGTTTTTTGAAACATGGTTAGAACTGTGTAGAAAAATATTTTAAATAAATCAATATATATATATATATATATATATATATATATATATATATATAACACAAGGAATGTCTATTATGTCTGATCATGAGCCGTTCTAATGTTCGTATGTTTGCTTTAATTTCGGGTGAAAATAAAGATAAAAATTGTTATTTTTGGTCCTTGATCTAAGCTTTCGGCTCACATGAGCCATCTTCAGAGTGGTTACCCGGACATTTTGACTGACAAAGATATTCACCATTTTGTTATGTTGAAATTACTATGTGACGGTCGCGGAACAGCAGACTCAGGTTGCAAATTCTTAATAATAATAATAATAATAATAATAATAATGTACAGTGTAACCCGGATATAAGAGACCCGGATATAAGAGAAACCCGGATATAAGAGAGATTTTCTCTGGTCCCAAATTAGAGCATGTGTTAATGTATATAAAATAGACCAAACCTGGATATAAGAGACTTCTCCGGTCCCGACAACTCTCTTATATCCGGGTTACACTGTATATAATAATAATAATAATAATAATAATAATGACCAGATACAGAAGCGATGGCAAGATAAACCGCTTCATGGCCAATACTCTGCCCGTACCAAACAAGCTGACGTAGACAAAACCCATACCCATCAGTGGCTACGTAGTGCAGGGATGAAAGCGGAAACTGAAGGTTTTATCCTTGCTGCGCAGGACCAATGCTTGCTAACTAGGAATTATCAAGCACATATACTAAAATATTGTGTCAGACCAAAATGCAGATTCTGTGATAAATATCCAGAAACGATTGATCATCTTGTATCAGATTGTACGGTGTTGGCCCCCACTGAATATAAAACCCGACATGACAGAGTGGGCCAATATCTGCACTGGAAAATCTGCAACTTCTACGGGAAGAAAACAGGTATGAACACCACCCAGACCCGGTTACGGAGATAGGACCTGTTACAATTCTGTGGGTCTACACAATATACACTGACAGAACAATCAAAGTCAACCGCCCAGATATTGTTATTAAAGACCACAAACAAAAAAAGTGCCTCCTTATTGATATGGCAGTCCCTGCTGACTGCAATGTATCTTTAAAGATATTCAAAAAGTTGTCAAAATACAAGGACCTTGAAATAGAAATCTCGAAAATGTGGCATATGGGAACATCAACAATCCCTGTTGTAGTTGGAGCCCTAGGACTGGCTGGAAAAGATTGCAGTAGACTAATTGAAGGGATTCCTGGAATTCCATGCCTCAAGGAGATGCAAAAAATTGTTCTGACAAGTACAGCCCACACTTTACGAAGGGCTTTATCTATGTAATATTTTTTTTTTTTTTTGGAAAGTGTCATGATGCCATTTCTAACCTTAGGTCCCTGGGCGGGACCCGGAAAGAAATGTGTAAACGCCAGAAATCAAAGAAAATAATAATACTAATAATAATAGTTAAGAGAAGAGCGCGATTTAAGAAATAAAAAGGAAAACATAAACAAAGTGTTTGACAAGATTTGACAATGTTTCAACAAAATGTCTGTTTTCTTCATATATTCAAATATTTTTCGAAATGCTTCTGACACTTCGTCTGTGAGAAATGTGAGTTGTAGGGTGGAAAATAACTCATCACCCACAAGGACGCGGAGACGCATTTGGACTCTATCGAGTCTAGAAAGTGAAAACAGAGCAGCATCTGCCCATATATGGCAGCAGTTCTCCATTTTCGGCCTGATCTGGCTCTTGTAAAATAGAGGATAACACGAGGAGTCAGGTACTTGGGGGAGAGATACAGGAAACTGACCATTTACCCTGTATTTTCCATGATGGCTCCTATGTACGAGTTCCATTTGAAGTCTGCGTTGAATTTAAGGCCCAAGAGGCGCTCAAGGCACGGAATTGTTTTATATCTAAAACACTGACGACAATTACAGTTGCAACTGCTTGAATATGTGTTTCAGTTTCTTCAAGGTTATACATGCGTATAGCATATCTGCATTGCCCTAAATCTTTCTGTATACATATCAATGTTCATACAATTTACAAAATAAAGGGCATAGAAATAACACTACAAAATTACGCTGTGCATCTATTCCTGGGTATGATGATAAACTACATCCAGCAGCAATGCCTCTGATTGGGAGATTGGAGCTGTTGAAGAGCTTGGAACTCTTAATTGCTGTTGTTCCCAGGATCACACTGACCCGGGTGGTAACAACTGTCCCAACTATTGGCAAATAGTGATCCCCCCCAAACAAAAACAAAACACTATGAAAGTATAAAAATACATTTTTATAGTAAAAATACTAGAAATACATTTTAAAGATAAATGACCAACAGTACATTTTATGAGAAAATGACCAACAATATATTTTATAGCAAAATGACCAACAATAAATTTTATAAGAAAATGACCAACTATACATTTAATAAGAAAATGACCAACAATACATTTTATAGCAAAATGACCAACAGTACATTTTATGAGAAAATGACCAACAATATATTTTATAGCAAAATGACCAACAATACATTTTATAACAAAATGACCAACAATATATTTAATAAGAAAATGACCAACAATACATTTTATAGCAAGATAACCAACAATACATTTTATAAGAAAATGACCAGCAATACATTTTATAGCAAAATGACCAACAATATATTTTATAAGAAAATGACCAACAATACATTTTATAAGAAAATGACCATCAATACATTTTATAGCAAAATGACTAACAGTACATTTTATAAGAAAATGACCAACAATACATTTTATAGCAAAATGACCATCAAAACATTTTATCTAAAGTGAAAGGCATAATTAATTTAATCAGGTGAAGCCATACAATTGCGTCTAAAATATTTAGATTTCGGCATTAAATAGCCCATAGAGATGTTGATATGCCGCCAAACAAAACAACTACACTGCACATATTCTTAACGCTGCGTTGTAGACGGGCTAATGATCGAGTCAAGCTTGGCCCCATCATGTCCCACACGTGTTCAGTGGGAGCAAGTCTGGCGACTGCTTTAGCCAAGCAAGTTGTCAAGCATCTTCTAGAAAACGTTAACTAACATGGGCATTTTTGGCCAGACATTATATTCATAGATCTAAAAAAATACTCAAGCGCAATGCCTAAACTACAATATATTAAACTCCAGAAAGATTCATTCAAACAAACGATGATAAAAGACTCGGATTATCCAGGTGGAATCGCGCATTCCATTTCTCTTGTAGAGATTGTAACATAATAGTGTAATGTTGTCCAGATTTCCCAATATAGATATCTATCTATCTTATCTAGTGAGGTCATCAGGTCCTTGAAATTAACTCAGAATTCATTTCTAAAAAAAAAAAAAAAAAAAAATTCTTGTCGGAGAGTGAGATTCAAACCTTCTTTTCGTTAATTTAGAAAACAAACATTCTAACCTCTCGATATACGACTGATATAAAAATGGAAATTATTTATGACACAACTTCATATTTCTAATAAATGAACAAATATTAGAATCTGAAAATGGACATCATAAGTTGATTGTTAGTTTTTCTACTGTCATAATTTGGTTTACTTTAGGTTGGTTGCTTGGTTCTTTCTTTCTTTCTTTCTTTCTTTCTGTCTATCTATCTATCTATCTATCTATCTATCTATCTATCTATCTATTCGTTTTAAAAAAATCTTTGTATTTATCTATCATAGTTTGCTCCTATCGTTTTTTCCTTATTTATCTATAGTAGCGATCTGTCAGTTTGTCTGTCTGTCTGTCTATCCCAGTTTTTCGTCGTTCATTTGCCAAAAATCTATCTATCTATCTAAATATCTATCATCTATTTATCATTTGCCAAATTTTCCCACTAAAAAATGATATCTATCTATCTATCTATCTATCTATCTATCTATCTCAGTTCATATATCAGTCTTTCCATATCTATCTATCTCATTCCGTTCTTTATCTATGTATCTATCATAGTTTGCTCCTATATATTTTCCACTAGCGTTCATATCTATCTATCTATCTATCTATCTATCTATCTATCTATCTATCATAGTTTGCTCCTATCTTTTTTTCCTTATCTATTTATAGTAGCGATCTGTCAGTCTGCCTGTCTGTCTGTCTTAGTTTTTGTCCTTTACTATCTATCTATCTATCATAGTTTGTTCCTATATATTTTCCACTAGCGTTCATATCTATCTATCTATCTATCTATCTCTGATATATCAACGAGTCCATTTATTAATCTCCAAACTTAATGACTCATCACGTGATTACTGCTAAAAGCAATTCAAATATGTTCACCTGCACATTTTACCTCAGCGGGTCAGCCAACCATCTTATCTCCACCCCACGAACAATGGCTATTTGTCACTTGCTCATGACCTCGTCGTAAACGATAATGATCCAAAGAGACAACAGTCAGACAGCTTTCTTTTGACATTAAGAAAGAAAAAACGAGACGTCCTCATAAATAACGATGAACGTATCTACAATATTATTTACTTATATAGTGATCATTTTATTTTGCTGGTATAAGAACACCTTTGAGAATCAGGTTGTTTAATATTATTTAATAGTAATTAATATTATTTAATAGTAATTAATATTATTTAATATTATTGTTAAACACGATGTGGGTGGATCTAACTGTACTTGCTATATTTAAGTTTATTTTTGGAAAATAACATATTTCAATAAAACTTTTGTTAATTATAATTATTACTAACAGCATGGCCCGGCGTTGCCCGTGCCTGATTCAAAAATCATACAACAATCGCTATCACTTGACTTAGAATATTTTTGCCCTTCCTTGCCTTTTGAAAACATTATAGCTCTTTTGCCGTGCTGATGTTGTTATATCCTTATAAATATATATATATATCTCACACTGCGAATATTTTCTAAAATTATATACTAAACATTAAATCTGTTACGAAAAAAGAACTAAACAAAATGAACACAAAACGATTAGCTTTAAAAAAGGACTCGTAACTGGAAAAATAAATGAAAAAAAATGTTATCAGCAAATGCTTTTCACACCCAACCCTGTTCTGCGGAATCAGAATCAACGTTGAGTTTTAGTAAGCGAATGGGCCAATTATAAAAAGTGCCGTGCAGATTTAAATTTTTCCCCACTTGTGACGAATGCAGCTATCGATTTTTTTTACATGCTAGTTAACATTCGTGTCAGTTCATTTGTTGGCTCTCACGCTGGCCAATAGAATCTTCCTGCCTATTTTTAAGCCAGCTATAGGCTCTCACTCTGACCAGTAGAAAATGGCCGCAAACTACATGAAAACTGCCGTAGAAGCATGAAAAAATTGATTATTTCCACTATTGATGGGGAGTTGATAATGCAAAGTTGGTCTTGGCCTTTCTTTAACTTGGAGCATGTGCATGTAAATTTTAAAAAAATCCGTCGAAAATTTTGACAAAAGCATTGTCAATTATTATTCATTTTTCACTAGTAATTCTTTCATCTTCATTTCTCTTAAAAACTTTTTATTTTAACTGCCATCCATAAAAATAGAATACGTAATTAGTTTTCATTTATTGAGAAGGACAATATTTGTTGTGGTCATCCGAAGATTACCATTTTTATATGTAGTGTAACGAATGCTGTGTCATTGCTGGTTGTCAGACACCGTTTAAGGGGAGGTAACAAGGTATTCTGTAGAAAATTCCTGCCTTGATTAATTGCTAGATAAAGGAAAAACTATTAATGACAAGCGCTAGCATTTAAGCATCTATTGTACACATTTCAAAATGTTTGTGAAGTATTCGTAATTAAACATTTTAAAACACTAAATACTTTGTATTTAACAATAACCTGATGATAACATTATGCTATGTCGAAAATACTCGGAATAAATACGAGCCAACACTGTGTTTTTCTCTGGTCTTTTAACAACCTCACAAAAAAGCTTATTCGTGAATATGAAAGGATCTTATCAAAAATAAGTAATTATTTAACGAAATCTGTCTGAATGAAAACATGCTGCCAAAATACACGCACTTTATATATTGGTTCTCTCTGGCGTAATAGACATTTTTCTCTTCTGAATCTGACTTTATAAGCCCACCATTCGATCGTGCATTGAATATTGCTGGCACATCAGGCTAAGATTCAAGAACATTCCCACTACTGTCGCTTAGTTTATATTTTTCTATAAGTATTTCTATAGTAATTGTTCTGAAGATTGTTCTTCTTCGATTTATCAAACATTTTGAAAACCGAAACTTATTTTATTGCAAGAATAATATCTTTTTTGCGAGTGAATAGTGCATTAACAGTATTTTAGGAATAATAACGACTTTTTCAAAAAAAAATAAATGTCCTACTATTTAATCCATAGCTGGAAGGAGACGATATATTCATCCCTTTCCCAAGGATAGTTGTTCGTAAGTGAATGTAACGAAACCGACTGGAATATGAACTCGTCTCTCTGATTTCTTCCTCTTTGGTACCTCTAATTCACAAATTTAAGCGCAGTACTAGATTGGCAGATAGGTCTCATCATTTGAGTTTAAATTGATAGATGTCCCATTCTCCCTATCGCCTATTGTGGACTGACTATATAAGTAGATATATATATAGTGAGCACAGGATATACCGAGGGGCTGGCATCGGGAATTAGTTGGGGATTCGTCTCCAGCTAAGTGTTATACCGGAACATACCTATTCTATTGTTAATAGACTCTCCCACACATAATAAGTAGTAGTAGTAGCAGTCGCCAGGGGGCTCAGTGAGTTGGTGAGTCAGTCGATGTCGGACATTGAAGTATCAACCACTACAACTAGACTGCTGCGTCATTAACTATTATTTCAAGTTCCTAACGTTTTGTACGTCGAACCTTTTTTAGGACCGACTTAGTGAAATACAAGTCTCCACTGTGAAACTACTCTACAACACTAAGCTAGTCGAACTCTCTATCTTCAGGCCGAGAGGAACCCAGACGAGGTTGTACCCAAGGGCAGAATCTCGTCTGGGGAGGTAGACAGCTACCCGGCACCATTTTTTACGGGGTCTATTGGGAATTTTGCCCGAGCCTACAGGCTAGGTGTTACGCCGCATTAAATAACGGCTTATTGCCACATCCTACCTCGCGGGGCGGTGAGGTAAATAACCTTGCATCGGGAATTAGTTGGAGATTTGTCTCTAGCTAAGCTCGTCGAAGTCTCTGCCTTTGGGTGGAGAGGAACCCAGACGAGGTTGTGATGAAGGGTACAGTTTTGTCTGACAGCTATCCGACCCTGTGTATACGGGGGCTACGGGGAAATTTTGCCCGTACCTACGTGGAGCAGGTAAGGTAAATACCCTTGCTTCGGGAATTTGTCAAGAATTGGAGATTCGTTTCCATCTGTGCTGTTCAAACTCCGGGAAGAGAGGATCCCTAGACAAGGCTATGTCGAAGGGCAGAAACTCGTCTCAGGAAACAGCTACCCGATCCCGTTTTATACGTGGCATTTTTGGCCGAGCCTACGGGCTCGTCTACTCCAAATTAAATTCAGCCTTGGGCCACATCTGCCCGCGTGGGGCGGTTGATAAATATCCTTGCTTCGGGAATTACTAGCCTGCTACTCGATTCCCTGTCTTTCAGTAGTGTATTCTCTTTTACAATAAACCTCTCTTTCTTTCATCCACGCCTATGTTGCTGTTCCTTTCACTCGATTACCATCTTTGTCTGTCTGTAAACTTCTTTAAGGATACAACAATGTCATCGTAAGTTCTATAGAGTTTATTCTCTTGCAATTTTCGATCGTTTGATTTTCCTGTCAATTTAAATGCAACGTCAATTGTTATCTTTTATTATTTTTCTCCGCAATGACTTTTTTCTGATTGTTTCACTTTCAGTAAACCCTCTTGGGTCTTAGTGGCTTTATTGCCTTGCCCGGCGAAAAAGAAACTATTGCCTTGCCCTGTTTAAAAGAAACCAAATAAGATATTTATGATTTATGTTTGCTTATTAGTTCCACGCTTCACTTGTGAAATATTATGTTTCCTATTACAATCCCAACGAAGTGAAACCAGGCTACTAATAATCACCCAGCAATGAGAAAGTGTCTTGTGACGGACAGAGAAAAAAAATAAAAGTCATACTGTTTTTTATTATAGCTTATTTATTAGTTGTCTACTTTTTAAGCTTATGTTTAGATATCATTTTTTTCAGATATTGTAATTCTTCTTTTGGATGTTATTTGAATTTAGGTTTCGTTTAGATTTTGGTTTTTATAATGTCTTGAAGGAACTATATATGAACGCTGATTATGACGTCATTATTCTCTACGAGAGGAAACTCAAACATAACACTGCCGAAGCCACCCACAATATCAACAATTCTTGAGGGTCAGAACCAACATTTAGAACGGACCGTGCATCGTTGGTGGAAATAAAAAAAAAAACCTCGCTTTCCTTGATCTACACCAGTGGTTCCCAACCTTTTTTTTAACCTATGGACCCCTTTTCCCTTATTTTTTTTTCTTGGTGGACCCCTTAATAACTATTTGACATAATACTATTTTTCACTAATAAAAATTGAGATTTTAATACTCAAAGAAATATTATATAATTAAGCTTTATTTTCAAATGAAAACTAATTTAATGCAAAAATTCACTGCAGTATTTATGAACACTGGTTAAAAATTTTAATAAACCAATTTTAAGTGTGTGATTAGGGGAAAAAAGAAATGCATATTTATTCAATGAGATCCTTGTGGTTGATGCTGCTCAGCGAGTTTCTTTATATCTGGTTCCGTCGATGTTAATGATAGCCGAAAATGACCTCTTTTTATAATATCAAGTCTATTGCGAACTTTTGATAACAATTGAGAAACACAACTAAATCCCGATTCAACAAGATGTTAGAAAAGCAATAACGTAGAGATGTGCTTTATTTTAATCAAAAAAACCATTCTAAGTTGGCTTTCTTCTATGTACCACCAAAATATCATTGTGGACTCCCAATTTGTTATATTTTGCCTGTGGACCCCTAGAAATATTACATGGACCCCGAGGGTCCATGTGGACCCGGATTGAGAACCCCTAATCTAGATGTTCAATATGAGCCTGATGTTTGTCATAAAACGTCACTCGATAAGAATGATCTAGGCGCAGTTGGGGAGACTTAAACCAAGACAAAATCTCGGACGCTGTGAGCAAAGCTGTAGGTAGTCCATAAAACAATCACAAGCGTTTGGATTCTTCTTCTCCTCTTCTTTCTCTATGTACCATGTTCTTCCAGGATAGGCGATTATGGCTCTCCACAATTTCTTGTCCTTTGTAGCTCTTAACGAAATTTGTCTTTTTGTTATCTCTCCTAAACCTTGTTCCATCATCCATTTAGTCAAGAACATTTCTGTAGCTTCAAGTCTCTTCTTCATCTGTGAGGAGATTGTCCAGCATTCACTGCCATGTAGGAGGACTGATATTACATAAAAAATTCAGTACTCTTTTCTTTGTTTCTGTTGCTTCAAGTCACTTCTTCATCTGTAAGAAGATTGTCTAGCATTCACTGCCATATAGGAGGACTGACATTACATAACATTTCAGTACTCTTTTCTTTGTTGCTTCAAGTCTCTTCTTCATCTGTGAGGAGATTGTTCAGTATTCACTGCCATATAAGAGGACTGATATTACATAACATTTCAGTACTCTTTTCTTTGTTGCTTCAAGTCTCTTCTTCATCTGTGAGAAGATTGTCTAGCATTCACTGCCATATAGGAGGACTGATATTACATAACATTTCAGTACTCTTTTCTTTGTTGCTTCAAGTCTCTTCTTCATCTGTGAGGAGATTGTTCAGTATTCACTGCCATATAGGAGGACTGATATTACATAACAGTTCAGTGCTCTTTTCTTCCTTCTGTTGCATCAAGTCTCTTCTTCATCTGTGAGGAGATTGTCCAGTATTCACTGCCGTATAGGAGGACTGATATTACATAACATTTCAGTACTCTTTCCTTTGTTTCTATTGCTTCAAGTCTATCCTTCATCTATGAGCAGATTGTCAAGCATTCACTGCCATATAGGAGGACTGATATTACATAACAGTTCAGTACACTTTTCTTTATTTCTGTTGCTTCAAGTCTCTTCTTCATCTGTGAGGAGATTGTCCAGCATTCACTGCCATATAGGAGGACTGATATTACATAACATTTCAGTACTCTTTTCTTTGTTTCTGTTGCTTCAAGTCTCTCCTTCATCTATGAGCAGATTGTCAAGCATTCACTGCCATATAGGAGAACTGATATTACATAACAGTTCAGTACACTTTTCTTTGTTTCTGTTGCTTCAAGTCTCTTCTTCATCTGTGAGGAGATTGTCCAGCATTCACTGCCATATAGGAGGACTGATATTACATCACATTTCAGTACTCTTTTCAAGGTTTCTGTTGCTTCAAGTCTCTTCTTCATCTATGAGCAGATTGTCAAGCATTCACTGCCATATAGGAGGACTGATATTACATAACAGTTCAGTACACTTTTCTTTGTTTCTGTTGCTTCAAGTCTCTTCTTCATCTGTGAGGAGATTGTCCAGCATTCACTGCCATATAGGAGGACTGATATTACATAACATTTCAGTACTCTTTTCTTTGTTTCTGTTGCTTCAAGTCTCTTCTTCATCTATGAGCAGATTGTCAAGCATTCACTGCCATATAGGAGGACTGATATTACATAACAGTTCAGTACACTTTTCTTTGTTTCTGTTGCTTCAAGTCAAGTGAAAAGCATCTGTGAGGAGATTGTCCAGCATTCACTGCCATATAGGAGGACTGATATTACATAACATTTTAAGTAATTTTTCTTTGTTTCTGTTGCTTCAAGTCTCTTCTTCATCTATGAGCAGATTGTCAAGCATTTCACTGCCATATAGGAGGACTGATATTACATAACAGTTCAGTACACTTTTGGGTTTGTTTCTGTTGCTTCAAGTCTCTTCTTCATCTCTGAGGAGATTGTCCAGCATTCACTGCCATATAGGAGGACTGATATTACATAACATTTCAGTACTCTTTTTTTTTTTCTGTTTCTGTTGCTTCAAGTCTATGAGCAGATTGTCAAGCATCTGTGAGGAGATTGTCCAGCATTTTTCACTGCCATTTTCTTCATCTGAGGACTGATATTTACATAACAGTTCAGTTCACTTTTCTTTGTTTCTGTTGCTTCAAGTCTCTTCTTCATCTGTGAGGAGATTGTCCAGCATTCAACGTCACATAGGAGGACCGATATTACATAACGTTTCAGTACACTTTTCTTGGTTTCACTTGCGTCAAGTTCCTTCTTCATTTGTGAAGAGATTATCCATCGTTCACTGCCATATTGGCATATCTTTTGCTTCAAGTCTGTTCCGTATTTGTGAGGAGATTGTCCAGCATTCACTGCAGGACTGATATTACATAATATTACCGATGCTTTATATGGTGAACAGCAACTTGCATTGTTAGACACTTATGATTTTTCGTTTAAAAATGATCCTTTTCTTAATTGTTGATGGAAAGTCTTTCCTGTGTGATAATGGGAAACGTATCCGTCTATGGGTGGCAAACTTGCTCATTGCCTATTGACCTCCCGAAATTTAAATGTAACCTCCGTTGCCTTTAGAAACCTGATCAGACCGTTGACATTTGGAGCTGATATATCGTTATTCAATTTGGAAAGCGAGTGTCTATCCCACATTGTCTGATCACCGGGTATGTTTCCTACTACCTACGATATTTCCCGGCATCAGCAGGTGAACAGAGAAACGAGTGACGTAGAAAATGACTTCAGACAGTTTGTCGACTTTAGTGATTACAGATTTTAGCGTAATATAAGAATTTCACTGATTTATATATATATATATATATATTTCTTTCCTTCTTCCTTTCTTTTTACTTTGTCTTTTTCTTTTTTCTTTTGCTTATTCAGACATTATTCTTAGTCTATTCAGATCTATCTATCTATCTATCTATCTATCTATCTATCTATCTATCTATCTATCTATCTATCTTTCTTTCTTTGTTTCTAGCTAATCCTCTTTCTTTCTCTCTCTCTCTATCTATCTATCTATCTATCTATCTATCTATCTATCTATCTATCTATCTATCTATTTTTCTTTGTTTCTTTTTTAACCTATTCACATCTATCTCATTCTGTTTCTTTGTTTTTATCTATCTATCTATCTATCTATCTATCTATCTATCTATCTATCTAGCTAGCTAGCTAATCCTATTTTTCTTTCTATCTATCTATCTATCTATCTATCTATCTATCTATCTATCTATCTATCTATGTTTCTTTTTTAACCTATTCACTTTATCGCATTCTGTTTCTTTGTTTTCATCTATCTATCTATCTATCTATCTATCTATCTATTATCTATCTATTATATTTATCTATCTATCTAGCTAG